AAAAAACAGATCATCATTTTTAAATTAATTTGTGTATGACTATGAACCTTTTATTTTCATTTTTTTTTTATTTTACTAGCCCTCTTTGTGATGACATAGATATTTCGGAAATGATAAATAATTAAAAAAAAACCAACACTGGCTCAAATTCGTTTACACTCGGTGGCGGAGGTAGCAAGGCGAACCAACTATATTGAATGCTGTTTACACTCACAATTTCAGAGTTATAGATAGTAGGCCTACAATGATTAAAACGGCAAAGCAAGACCAAATCGTCTTAATTCACGACATCACATGAGACATTTTTTCCATGTGGTATCCATTCCTTTTCGATATCTGCGTAAATTTTAGAACTATTTGTTGCTCTCCTTAGATGTTTTCTTCAACGAAGATCTAGGGCGCATAGGCCTAAATGGTGAATCCCCACAAATTTCAACATATTTGTGAAAAGTAAACAACTTCATCATTATAAAAATTGTATTTTCAATTTATTTTGGTGGATTTTATTAAATGTTCATAAACTTAAAAAAGAATGTATTTCAATTATTGAATCAATATTCTGACCTTAAATTCCGAATTCGTAAATTCTAGGCCTATTCTAACCTACTCAGTAAGTATACTAATTAATGAGGTTGTGATCATCACTGCATGTGATTGCACATGTGCAACCACTGTGCAGTGTATACTAAGAAGTTCAAATGGGGAACTGATTTTCCCCCGATGGGGACCTAGACGCCCCCCCCCCATACCCCGGCCTATTTCAATTTACTCTCCTGTTACTTTCAAATTTCTCCTGCTACTCAAATTCATAAATAAACCCCTGATTTTGAGTGCAGATAACTTCAAAAGAGAAGGGATAACAGTTAATCTGATGCCATATTTGTGTAATATGGAGGAATATAAGTTAGAATACCAAGTGTGACCTTGATAGCTATTACCAATCCTGAGTTATAAGCTTCCAAATTTGGAGGAAATTGCATTTGCGAATCTTGAAGAGCCACGCCCCTTTTTTTTGGTGTCAATATCTCGGAAACTACAAAACCTATAACCCTAATTTTTTTTAAGTGTTGGTTTTTCACATAGTGGATCATCAAAATCTGAGAGGGTCATACTGGAACTTTTTTGAAATCTTGTTGATTTGACACGGAATGACCCTGTAGGTGATGCCTATGGTATGCTTCTTGTGATTGGTGTGGTGTTGATTTTCTGCCTACAGTAGGCCCTAGTCTTGCATGGCGGTATTGCTGTTGCGAGTCAAAACGGTTACAATCGGTTGTCTTAGGAATATTCCTCTCACATTGCCAAAACTCCGCTCAGAAGTTTTTCAGACTCCTCTTATTGGCCTTGTAGGGTTGGCATGTTTGGTACTTGCTAAAAAAAAATCACTTGTGATTTTTTTCGCAAGTATTTGGGAATGAACTGAGCATCTTGTTTGATATCCAGTAGGGAAAAACATCAGTGCTGTGATATTTTCCTAATGCAGACATGCATCGAAGTGGTGTACTTTATTAAAATTGTTATTAAATTGTTTTTAGACCTAAGAGAGTTAGTAAATAGTTTAAAAATGTTTATAGTTTGTTTAAATAAACATTTTTTAACTGCGTTAAATAGTACAAATATTCAATTAATGAATCATCTTGACTCAGAAATACTGTTTTGTTAAGCTACTAGAGAAACATTTGTATAATTTTAGGCCTACGATTAATGTAATTACAGTAGAACCCCTCATTTACGAACCCCGATTTTACGAATTCCCAATTTTACGAACGTAATATAAAGGTGATGACGTCATAAAAATTGAAGCGATAGATTATAAAAAAAAAAAACCTGCTCGAATTGTACCTGTTATTACCATGCATACAACACAACACACAATACTATACAGTACTATGTAATTCTCAAGTTAAGGAGGCCCTCTAACGGACCTCTTCAAAGTCGAAGTGTTTTTTATGGCTTCACACATGTGCATGCGACAAATTTTACTTCTCTTCGTTCTCAGCTTTAAAATTCAACATAGTGCTTGATTGTTTTATTGAATGATCAATATATATAATAAACAAGTATCTATGGAAGTTGTGTTGGAATAAAATCCACGATCTAGGTATTTAAGAAGGTAAAAATGTCCGATAAAAACAAATTTGTGCAGGGCCTAGAGTGGGATCAGAATGCTTAGAAGCTGCCAACTGTAGGCCTAGGCCCCCTCAGACTTAGCTGCGTAAGCCTGTAGGCCTAACCTAGGCCTAGTTTATGCCAGTGTAAATAGTATCAGTGCAAATATATAGGAATTTGGGTCAACCCCGATTTTACGAATACCCAAATTTACGAACGGCTCTGGGCCCGTGCCGTACGTAAATGAGGGGTTCTACTGTACCATATTCTTACTGTACCCTTCTCTAAACTTGACCAACCTTGACCTTTTTATCACTTATATTTTTTCTTATTAAAATAGTTTTCATCAATTTTGTTAACTTTAGGTATCAAATAAACCATTAATGGACTTAATACGAAGAAAATTTAAATTGAATCAACCATATGCAGGTGTGTTTCTCCGCAAAGAAGACAGGTTAGTGATGATTATGATAATTATTTTTTTTTTTTCTGTTTTGGCTGTAACCCATGAACTGTAGCTTTAATTTAAGAATACCTGAACGTTGTCGTCACTCTATTCATGTTTGTTGCAACGTGATCCTCCATTCTACATCGTAGAGCAGGAGCACTACACAGCATACTTAGCTGTTTGTTGAGTTTTTTTTTCAATTGTGTAATGACTAGCTTACCTAACTTAAGACCCTGTAAAGCACATAATATTAACAATATTATTTCCTTTGATAGTGAGGAGGAGGGTGAAGTAGTAGAGAGCCTTGACGGCATTTATCGTGTAGGGACATTTGTCCAAGTCCACGAGATGCAGGACCTTGGAAATAAACTGAGAATGATTGTGACTGGTCATAGAAGGTATGTACATTTATGATTAAACAAACAGAGCTGACCAGGCTCCACAAATTCAATACGATACAATACAATAACTTGTTGGATTCCCCCTACTTGAAGCGCCAAACCAAATTATATACCTTTAGGCATGAACAAACCCACTTTCTCGACGGCTGGAACAAGTGTTTTTTACGGTCAGACAACAAGAATTTTAGGGACCACTAGTCTGTGGACAAGCACTTTGAGAATAGGCTACTTCACCATGTAATGCGTAATGATTTCACAGTACTTATTAAAAGTCCGACTCTTGACAATACGCAGCATATTTAAATATATAACAAATTGTCGGCGCACAAAGAGATATCAAATGGAAAACTGACTAGGCCATGGTTATGCACTGCACTGCGTGCATCAACTTTGAGTCGCCGACACTTCCGAGATTTATGAACGGTTTAAAAGAAACAATGTAGGCCTAACTCAATATAAAATTTGTTATTTTCTGCAGTAAAATGATTGAAAATGAATTGTTAATTGTTAGCCAGGTCTGTCATAAGACTTTAGCAGGCACATATTTTCGCATGATGTCATACCTGTTAGCCATCAGCCGTGTAGGTCTGCTGCATGTGGTCTGTTTACAATATAAATTCGCACTGGTATAGTCTATATATACCAGACATATGTAAAGACTTTGGGTGCACAGCTGTAATAGTTGATTAGTTGAGTTAGACGACATGAGTTGGACAACATGATCGTACATGACGTACAGGTATTATTTTCCTGAAGACGATTGAAGCAACTCAATTGAATCGTCGAGACTCAACTACAACAGTTCTTTTTAGAACTACTTACGTGGTGTACCGCAAGTTTCAACATATATATAATATTCTGTTATATTAATTAAATATTTATAACTATAACAGGGTTCTCGCCTCGCCGGTCAGCCCTGTCCGGCTTTCAAATTTTCGACCGGCATCTAAACTGCACCATTTTTACAAATATTTTGTCATCCTTAGAAACATAATTAAACTTGAAATACCTTGCTAAAAAATCAAGGGCTTTTAAATGTAAACGCCCTATTCGTTGAGAAAATAACAGTAGAAGTACATGTCCCCATGGTTATGTTTATTTTTAATTGACAGTCTTGCAGTGGATAGCACCACAACATACCCATTTATTCAGAATGAGTGTGCACGTCTTTGAAAAAAAGGTTTAACAACTGTTATAACACACAACAGAAAGCAAACATAAACGCCATAGCAACAAAGAAGTTAAAGATTTTATTATGATGCTCAATGACTGAATTAAAATGACATGTAAGAAGTGAACGTACAAAAAAGTAACACTTCTCTAAAATACAGCTGAACAATTCCTACCACTGAGACCATGGCACATGTTTGTATCGCTGAACAAAGTAGTCGGCTATTCCCTTCTCGCGGAGCAGCAGTGTGTTTACATTCCTGGAGGCGGCGTTCAAAGAATCAGATCAGAGTCTAGTGCGTCTACATTCCTAAGTTGGCGGCGTTTAAAGGGTAAGCATACTGTATGTGACTGACCTTGTGTCAGTCTATCGTGGGAACCTACTTGTGTAGGAACGTTTCTTACTGAATTCACTGTTACTAGGCAATTTGCAGTAATGCCAACTGGTGGTATATGCCTATTTCAAACAGTTTATTTCCGTTCATGACAAAGCATCGATACAAAACAAAGTGAATTGATTTTATTTCTGAATGGGACCAGTAGCGGCAGGATTTGGCAGACGGGGATACAATGTCTCCGATGGGGTGGGCAACAAGAGTGTGAATGGGCGTGGTCGGGCGTCACTCAAAATTTTTGGAATTGTTTTTACGAAAATTTAACGGTGTCAAAGGCTTATTTAATCGATTTTAGAGTCTAATACAGTCGAGTCCGCCAAAGTCGACTCTGTTTAAGTCGAAAATTTGCGTCAGTCGAATTCTTTCCTATGTATTACTGTGTAAATTGTTTGTTTAATTCGAATTTTTATAAGTCGAGTTTTGGCTATGTCGACGGAATTTTCCGGTCCGGATAGGCCGATTTTAAAGTAATCTCAAGCACACAAGTCGAAGTTAATGGATTTTTTTTTTAATTTTTAGAATTAATATATCTGGCTTAGTTGACAATTCGGAGATTGAAGAGGAGAAAACTGATCCGGAGAAGGAGATGGAAAAAGAACAAGATACAGAGAAGACAGTCAGCGAAAATGCAGTAAAAGGCGTTTTGATGGTAGATGTGGAGAATATAACTCATCAGCCATTCAAAATGAATGAAGAAATTAAGGTAAGATTTAAAATAGTTTAGAAATATCTAATCTTTTAGGAAACAGTCATGAAAATTTGCACCATCAGTAGAACCTCGATTTTACGTAGGGCGTACGTAAAACCGGGGATTCGTAAAATTGAGGTTGAGTTAAATTTGTGGTGTCTTTTGACCTAATATGTATGTAACACTCAATAAACGTATGTTACGAATGAACGGTGTTATCTACACCTAGGCTAGACCTACAGTACAATTACTGTACTGTAGGCCTAGGCTAGGTCTACGAATAAAATTATGTGTTTATATTCATCACTTTACGATGTCATAATAAAGTGTTCAAATAAAACCATGTGTCTAGTGTATTAATTCATCACTTTATATGTTTTACTAAAGAACATGAAAATATTGTAAGATATACTTGGCAATTCCCCTTCATGGCCTGCTGAGACAAACTAAAACCATGTGCACTGCAACCAATTAGCAACCAATTAGCGTTGGTGTACGAAAACAAAACCCATATGCACTGCATTTGTCAAGCAAACCAATTAGCGTTTGTGTACGAAATTTTGCCTACTGTACAGTAGTTTATTAGCATCATGTCATAATGCTTTAGCTTAGAACTAGGGTAGGTATCTCATTTCAGAAATGGGGATATTCCACCAACCCAATCATCTGTGACTGTGGAAATGAGCCTCAGACTATACAACATATCTTGCAATGTAGCATACTTGAGGATGCCAGCACCACCACAGATCTCGCTGGGTACAACCACGAAGCAATTAAGTGTGTTCAGCTATGGCTGGGCAATATTTAGCGTTGTACTGTAAAAGTTAAAAGGTAATTTTCGCGGTACATTAATTTTCGCGCATTTCAATTACAAAGCAGCTACCACGAAAATGAAAACATCGCGAAAATCTATTCGCAGAAAAAAACACTTCAACGTACTATAAACAATACCACGGCTGACGCGCCCTGGTACGTATGCGAGAAAGTTTACTTGTGAATTAAGAAAGAGTGTAAGCGAGAGCACGGTTAGGGGAATAAACAAGTCTTATTTAGCAAAACTATAGAGTCCCAACCAGCTGTGAACGTGCTGGGAAACGAGGCTGATAAGAAAATACGAACATTTATGAAAAGTCTTGTGCTTGCATCAGCCAAGGGGTTATTTTGGAAATTCCCTTAAAGTGTTTTTTTAAGTGGACCAGTAAATTATTATTTTTACTGGTCCTCCATCCCTTTCACTAGCCACTATCTTGCCAACTTTGAAAGGCCCATATACCATATTTGTGACATGATGATCATGCTGCCCATCACAGATGAAATGATGCCGCGAAATACTGCAAAACCTTGAATCGAAGCCCACAGTGTTTAATCTCGAGAGGAAGCCCATCTCGAATTGACGCCCCCCCCCCCAAAAAACAAACTCTTTTGTTTTTTAGCAAAATTAGCCTCGAAAAGAAGCCCATGGGAGCATAGGCTTCTTTTCAAGATATTAGTCACATACACTGTACATGAATTTCATAGCTTGGTTTCAAGCTTCATGCTTGGTTTATACAGTAGTTTTGTGATTTAATACCAAAATTTAAAAAAATTTAAATACACTCCATGATACTGATTATGTTACAGTTGCCTTATTTATTGTTTTGCAGTACAAATTCACAAAATTTACAGCATTCATTTTGAAAAGAAATCCCCTTCTTTACTTTACTGCAAAAGTACTCTCGAAAAGAAGACCATCTTGAAAAGAAGCCCATCTCAAAAAGAAGCCCATCCAAAGTTCGCAAAGAAAAAAATAAGACCAGGGCTTCAATTCGAGGTTTTACGGCATAAATGAATGAATCTCTATGTACAGTGTGCTCTCCCAATACCCCAAAAATTTAATTACTTAATACCAAAAAAAATGAATGCTTTTATATTGTTTTTACATGAATTTTCGGTCTGACATTTTTTTCTAAACACAACACATTCTCCGCAGTCATGATGCGACTTGCTGGTCAGTGGTTGTTGTCGCGCCTCCTGAACTCTGCCCGCTAATTGATTAATTTTTTCTTGGGGTCATGTGGATAGCTAAATATCCCATGTGCTTAGCTGTGTGATAACGTGAGATCACCCAAAGTTTCATAGTACGTGACAGCTTTCTGACAGGAACAACCTCAGTGTAAACCAATAAATTTTTAATTAAAACAGATTTATTAAAACAAATAAGAAACCCTCATGGTTTTGTTTTAGAGTCAAATCTAAGTAAAGCTAACAAATTTAAATATAATTCTCTACAAATTAGCAATGTTTTTGAGGAATGAGTGAAGCAATGCATTTGTACATGTACACTGATGAATCTAATGACATCCATCCGAATTAAACATACTGAAAAAGAGTCAGAAATTGTAGAAACTTGCTTCGAGTTCCTTTTTCGTTTCAGGTTGATTACAATCGATTTTTAAGGATTTTTATTAAAATAGAAGGTGTAACTTTCACTTTATGTAACAGTCATGTTTACTGGTGTGTCATTTTAATATATGGCAATGCTATTGAGACTGAACTAGCTGTACGAGTTGTTAAATCCTAGACAGCGATGATTATTGCGTTATTTTGTCTGGAAAACTTTTTGTTAGGTTTTTAGCGAGTGAAATCAGATCAGAGGGCAGTTAAAAAAAAACAGTTCAGAGACAGAAATTGCGCCATTATATTTACCATAGTGATTTGTTTGAGTAGCGCTCTTTTATTTATAAACATCTACACTATGCAAAACCAAAAACTGGCCAGCGCATGTGCATTACTATGTAGCGTTGCGTTGTGGGATGGATACATGACATGATGGAGAAGGTGATTTCCCCCTGTACGTCTAGCTAGTGCGTGATAGGCTGTTCGTAGCTGAAAATGACTATGAGGTACAGAAAATAGCGCTCTTGTTTACATTATCTCTGTGAAATATTTTGTAAAGACATCGTTATGAGGTGAATGAGTATTTTGTCAGACTTTAATTGAAATTTTAACTGGTCAAGCGACTTGTTATTGGGATAATTAACAGGTCCAACATGAATTTTACTAGCCATTGGCCGGTGGACCAGTGTTATTTCAAACCCTGAAAAATATAGAAAGTGTAATATTTTAATATGAAAAACATTTTTTAAAAATTGGTTAATTTTTTTTAGTAGGGTCATTGATGGGCAAACATGTGCTTGATGCCCAAAGTTTCATGACAGCTTGCAGACCGGAACAAGCTCAGTGTAAATTGATTAATTTTTAATTAAACAGATTTATTAAAACAGATAAAAAAAACCTCCTGGTTTTGTTTTACAGTCAAATCTAAATAAACCTTAAAAATGTAAATTTCATTCTCTTACATATTTAGCAACATATTTTGAGTGAAGTTGTGCATTTGTAAGTTACACTGATGAATCTACGACATTCAATTCCGATACAGATGCGCGCAGTTTAAACGTCTACTGGAAAAATGTCAGCCATCGTAGAAACTTGCTTTGAGTTCCGTCTTCCTTTCAGGTTGATTGCAATTGTTTTTTAAGGAACTTTATTACCGTTTAGGCCTACTAGTGCGTCGTTTTAATCAACAGATAATCTATATGGCAATGGTATTGGGGCTAAGCTAGCTAGCTTATGACGGTTCATTTACAGGGTGTTGTGCTAGACCTAGTTGTTGGTCCAGAAATTGCTGTTTACTGACGGTTCGGTTTGTAGAAGTTGATTTTTATGTTCCGGACCAAATAAAACTTTCAGAATTCGGATTAGGGAAATCCGGTTTTCGGAAAGTATTTTTTGAAGGAAGAATAGGAATGGTTTTATGACTTGAAAAAAAGTTTGGTTTAGCATAAAATTCTGTTTTCTGGGCATTCAGAGATTCCATATATATATTTTTTTGTAGTTAGTTTCATTTTATTTATCATCATAACAATCAATAATTAGTTGTGAATTTGAACATCAATATGTAGTCTAGGCTTTCCAGCTTGATTGGGTGACTTGAAAAGACATCCATCACTGCTATAACAGGTCAGCATGGGTTGATTTCAGGGCTGTAACTGAAACTAAAAACTGCCGTGTTATAATCAGCGTCAATTTTATAACGCCGGTGATTATTTATTATTTTATTTTTTTGCCGACATACTTTTTTCCTAATTTTGAGGGCTGGTAAGAATACCATATGGTTTGTAGTGTTTCAGGAGTAGGGGGTATTTTCTGTCCATGGTTATAGTATGGCTTTAATATCTGTTAAAATAGAAAACCGATGAATTGGGCACGACGTCTTATCAAGTTTAGCTTGAGTAAAGAATTAATAACAAACAGATTTCTGGAAAGTCATTTTTACCTGTTTACAAACTTTTTAAACATAACGTAAGGTACACAGGCGCACCATGAAATGTATCATATTGTTTAACTGCAAAGTTTCCTATTATTAATAGGAACCAAAAAACAAAAAAATACTACGGTAAAAATAGTAAGGTAGGCCTACTGTATTTATTTGAATAAACACACCCCTCAAATAATCACCCCTTCTAGAGCCTCATTTGCAATAAACACCCCAGGGCTTTTGTTTTTTCCTCAAATAATCGCTGTCTTCCCACCCAAGTGACTGTAAGCAAATCTAAAGGAAGCAACATCAATCTCAACACATTCTATTAATGCTCTACTGCAGTAGAATTACATTTTTTCTAACCTGGTTGAGATCAATAAATCTTCATGATCACATAAACACATTTTGACGGTAATTATGTGTTGTTAGTTCCATATTTACAGTGAAATTAAGGGGTGTTTATTTGAGTAAATACGTATCCATTTACACCAAAAAAATAAATGCCTCCCTAGAATATAATGCCCGCCTCAACCTTTCCACAAAAACTCTTCTCAGCAATAAACATGGTATTGAGAACCTGTAACTTAAAACCCAACTTGCAGGACAATATGATTGTACCAATTTATTATAATTTTGTTCATTTCCCTAATAGGCTTTAACAGCTGAAGTGGTAAAAACCATTCGAGATATAATTGCTCTCAATCCATTGTACAGGTAAGTTCAAATATTCCAAGTATATTTCTAACAGTGTCATTGTCCTTACTACATTGTACACACAATTGAGTTTGAATATTCAGTTTATTCTAACAGTAAAGCGTTGTCAATATATTTCTAAGTAGGAGATTAAGGATTGAGTTAGCATCAAAATTCTTTCCTAATGTTACAGCATTTGAAGCAGTAACTACTGTGGTAGCTCTGCATCCACTTTTTTTTTAAATGCTTGTTTTGTCTGCAGAGAGTCAGTTGCACAGATGATTCAAGCAGGGCAACGGGTGATTGACAACCCTGTTTACATCAGTGATCTTGGTGCGGCATTAACAGGGGCAGACTCCAATGAGTTACAAGAAGTACTGGAGGAGATGGATGTAGGTGGCATTTCTATGAAAAGGCTATTGTTACACCACTCATAACTAATTTCTGATTAGATGATATTGTATGTGTGAATTGTATTATGAAAGTAACAGAATTAGGTATTGGTTTATCTGTGTGCCTATAAAATATAATTCTGAATGAGTAAGTCCTTTTGTTTTCATGTGCGTCCCACCTAATAGCCAGCAGAACCTACGACCTGTTGGTATGTGATGCTATATTGACCTGTTGCAATTTGACCCTGCAACTGTGTTGTATATGGCCGGCCATACAAAGTATATATCCATGTTAATGATGATATTAAGAATATTAATATACAGTACAAAATCGTATATAACAAATACATAATAAAATACCCTAAGTCTTGCTGCTATCTTATATCTAATATTTGTTGCCAATCATCATAGAATAAGCAGAATTTTAAATATTTTTTGGTAAATTCACTTTTTTTTGTTTTCTTAGATACCAAAGCGTCTAATGCTGGCCCTTAGTTTACTGAAAAAAGAATATGAGTTGAGCAAGTTGCAACAGAGGCTTGGAAAGGAGGTAATTTGCACATTTTTTGTACAGATTTTCCTCAGTAAGGTTCTGCAGTACTATATTTTGTATTGATTAAATATGTTTGATTTTTGTATTAATGGTTATGTTTTATTTTTAAGTTATAGTCTTTGGTGTTGCATTCTTAGGGTTTTTAGGTGTCATCCATTATTTTCATCATTTTTACGAGCGTACAAAACGTATGCTGGGGGTGGGGGTTGAAGGCATGTGTACGCTTTTAAGAAAGTACAAAAATGATGATTTGGAAATGTTAGCATGCGTTTTTGTGCCTAGCCATTTCCCTAGAAAGCCAAAGTTTACCGTTATATATACACTGGTAAATTTTCAGTTTTCTCAATTGTTTGTAGACAGTGTCATCTTACACCCCTGATTAACAATGTGTTGATAAGCATTGTGTACATATAAACAATTTCAAAATACAAGGGAAATGCACTTTAGCTCTGTAAATTTGAATGAACTGTAAGCCAGTACAGTAACCACAAACCGCAGCCTGACACTGACAGTAGGGTAGCAGTATTGGGACCATGTGTTTCACTGTGCTGTGAAAGCCTACCTTATTTTCTTCTCCCTTCTTCTACTTCACTAGGCCTAATTCCTACCTTTTAAATTCAATGGGCCTACATCACTCCCTCTATTTAACATTTTAAAACACAATTTATTATTTGTATTCCATGGATACTCATGATGCCATAAATTTTACATGTTATCTTTTACTAAATACCAGCAGTCCACAAGGAAGATTCAAGCCTAGGTGAAAGGTTAAACATGTGCTTCATTTGTTGTGCGTCAATTTTTCTTAAACTTGCTTTCTACTTGCTCCGAATACTCAATTATTTGTCCATGTGGTAATAAATTTAAATAACATAAAATGTTTATTAATTATTGTTTAATGTTTTGATGAATTGTTATTAACATATTAGACCTATATGCAATTTAGGTCAAAAATGGAACCTACCAATAGTTGGCTATGAGGTTATTGGGCCAGGATTGAGTTCATATTTTTAGATTGGTAAATTATTTGTGGCACTGTTTCTCAGTCTGTTGTCATGTTAACCAAACTAAGCAATCAGTTATACTGTAGTGTTGGTATTTTACAAGCTGCTGGTAGCAGAGTAATTGTAATGATTGTTTCTTTTTAAGGAAAGTGTTATAAATGTCAAAGGGAAAAAAGGTCAAAAGAAAGTAAAAAAAACCCAAAAAAACAACACACACAACTGATTAAAAAGTTAAAGGCAATTTAAATTCGACAATTGAACAGTGTCAGCAAGAAGAGTATGTTTTGTACTCTTGTGAAAATGATGAAAATAATGGATGACCCCTTAGATACTATACTACCGTATATAAATTTACCTCTAGTGTGAGCAGCTAGATCAGTCAGCTAAACTGGTGGTAGCCACTGTGTGTGCGCTGAACCATGGAGATTTTTAGGTCCTCGGTTCAATTCCCATCACACTCTCCTTGTGTTACAGCTAGAGGGCTGAAATACAAGTTTCAAAAGAACACTATCCTTTAGATGAAATGTTTAAGCTGTTGGTTCCGTGTGCAAAATGGCCCAAGTGCATATTAAAGAATGCAAAGAGTAGGGGTTTGTCCCCCGATGTACATAAAGCAGCTCAGTTGACTAATCTGGTGGTAACTACTGTGCGTGGAGATCTGTAGGTCCCCGGTTCAATTCCCATCGCTGCCTCTCCTTGTGTTTCAGCTGAAGGGCTGAAATACAAGTTACAATATTGCACCGTCTTTCGGATGAGATGTTTAAGCTGTTGGGCCCGTGTGCATTTATGACCCATGTGCATTTATGACCCATGTGCATGTTAAAGAACACAGTACACTTTTCGGAAAAGAGTAGGGGATTGTCTCCCGGTGTACTGCCCAATCACCACCAGGAGGACCCCACTGGAAATAAAGTCTTCTTCTAGACTTTTGTGGGCTATCCTTGGTGTTCACACCAAATAAATTCAATACTGTATTTATAAATAAGCTAAATTTGTTTATAATTTGTTTTTCTCAGGTGGAAGATAAAGTGAAAGCAACTCATCGGAAGTACATGCTTCAAGAACAGTTAAAAATCATTAAGAAAGAGCTAGGCCTAGAAAAAGAAGACAAAGACGCAATTGAAGAAAAGTTTAAAGACAGATTAAAGGTAATAAAATAAATGCTATGTAAAGTATCAGCTTCCATGGGGTCCCTCATTAGGCCAAGCAATTAAACTTGCGCATTGAATTGAAATATATGGGGCTTACCATGAAAAACCACCAGCAGTGACCAAAACAACAAAGTTTACTTTTTAATATACGGTATTCATATTAATAAGAAACCAGTATGTCTTTCGAGAAGATTGTGGGGGGGGGGTTACCCTGGTGTACTGGTCCATCTCAAAGCCCCTGCTACTGTTGACTTGATGACACGCCTTCTTGGCCTGTGCATCACACGACAGGACCCTTAGGGGAGCAGTAATTTGCTGTGAGGTTGGCCCTCCACCCGAAAGAAGATGATGGATTCCTTTTACTAAAGCATGCAATACTGCCACATTCTATGCTAATTGTTCAGTTTAATATTAGTGAAAGTATGCCGGTTGTGGGATTGCAAGCCTCATATGTAGATACATTTATCATAAATATATCATTATTATCTATCATGTACATGTTATTTTCTTTATTTTTTAATTTAGGGGAAAAATGTTCCCAAAGCTGTTATGGATGTCATTGACGAAGAGATGAATAAATTGTCTTTCTTGGATAACCACTCGTCAGAATTTAGGTTAGATTGATATTATGATGGTTGTCTAATTATTATTTTTCTAATTATTATTTTTACAATAAAAATGGTGTAAATTATTTTCATTAGGTATAATAGAGTCTCTGTCAAACATCTGTCAAATAATTGCATTGCTTACTAATGTATTGGATTACAAAAGTTACCAACATTTCAACTGAAAGTTTAAAAAGACCTTTGGTGAAATCTGGAAAAACTAAACATGCATAAATAAACATAGTATTCCTCTTTTAAATTATCAAATTTATATATAAATGAAATTGTTCTTTACTCTTTATGTCCTCCCATGATGTTAATTTGACTTGTGTGTGCCATCATTTTTAAACCAGAATTGAATTACATTAATTAGTTGGAAAATGTTTTAATCTTCAATGGAAAGCTAATAATATACCACAACCCTTTTCAATAATTACGATAACATTTTGTGCTATAATTTGATAACGCACCAGTGAAGGTTGTCAAAAACCCATAAATATAACCATCATAAATTTTTTGGGGAGAAAAATAAAATAAATCGAATTTAATAATCTTTACAACAATTATAAAATTATAATTGTATTCATAACACATTCATCAGACTTTTGATTTCAATCAGAGATGAACATGCATTTTTTTCAACGTAAAAACAGTAAACATCGAAATTGCCTAGCTGTCTTTAATATAATCCTCTCTACAGTTGAAAGTATTTGGTCATTTTTCAACAGGAAGAGTTCATTTGAAAGCATCATTTATTATTATTCTAAATCATATCTAAACATGGATTTGGTTGGTTCATTAGTTTCATTGGACCAATCAGATTTATGAAGTCCATTAAAAACTCCTCCCTGATGCTTATGCATTACAAGCATAACCATCTGATGCTCACATTGGTACAGCACACTCTTGAGTACTGTACCAGGCAAAGTAACTACATTATGCATATTTTTAAACACTAAGATTGTGATCATATGCTAGAGAAAAAGACAGAGGTCCTTATGAAGCAAGTTTTAAGCAGTAAGATTTATATTATGATATGAGTAGTTCATAAATGTGAGGTCTCACTATAAAATGAGTTTCATCGTTATAAAAAATCAAAAAATGAGTTAATATTACATTTTGGTAGATCACATTATAAGCTTTAATTTAGTCTTTGAATGGCTTCCCTAGGATAAATAGATTTAGAGATGTTAGCATTTAAAGTTTAGGTGTATGAGAACTAGGTTTTGAGAAAATCGGCCTCAAAGATAAACTAACCTGTACAAATAATAGGACTAGAATTACAGAATATGCCAAGAGAACACTGTTTTAGTAAAAAAATTCACTTAAAAAGTACACAATCATAAAATATAAGTATCAAGTTATAAAAAACATTAAAATCAAAATTTTGTAAAAAATGTTGCCTTTGACCTATTTTGGTGAATTATCTCTATGATTTCACCAACGATGCATCTCATTTCATGGTGAGACCTCACAAATATCAGTGTTTGTAAAAAACATCATAGTTTTCTGAGCAGTTCAGATGTCGCTGCCGGCGTGAGCTGTATGGTTACTGTACATTTTCAAATGTGTTAGGCTACTGTATGTGTGAGTGTGATGGTGAAGGTACAGTGTGTGCTAGGCTTGTTGTGGTACAGTAGTTTGATAAAGAATATTATATATTTGTATTGAAATATGAATGAAATACCATATAAAGTTTTTATGGTACTTGTTTAATTTGTAATATGTGGAAACACCCTAAATTATAAATGAAATGTTCCAAATCACTACGCGCTTGACCCGTAGTCCACAGTGTAGTGCACGTCTGCCTATCCTTGAGAGCATATTCAGTGAATTATGTTGCACTGCTTGCTAAATGTTATCGTAATGCATTTGCCAAAAAAAGTAGAGTACAGTGGTACAGTAAATATACTTGTGGCATCTAAAATATATTTAATGTGCATCCAACCTAATAGCCAGCAGGTCTTGACCCATGACCTGCTGGTATGCTAAAGGATGCTATATTGACCTTTGCCCATCGCATGCCAGTTGCTGTTTGACCAGCAACTGGTTGTACAATGAGCATACATTTTAATATTTTCAGATTGCTTTTCTTTGTTTATAATTCCGAAAATTATCAAAATGCCTCTGACAGGATTCAAAACTGCGACCTCTTGCATTTTATTACACAATGTATTTAGGGTTGTTTTAGGCTCAAATCAGCCAGAAATTTGAAAGTGTCCCTGTGACCCCTCCTGGATTTTACTTCTAAGAATACCTTGTTGTGTCAAAAAAAAGAATCCAAAATTTCAGTTTCAATTTCCAAGCAATTTTTAAGCTGTGACCTTTTGAAATTTGGGTACCACACCCCTTTTTTTTAGTCCTGTAATGGCTCCTTTAGTTTTGTACAGTTTTGACGATGCTATATATTCTGGGATAACGAAGATAAAAAGTTGTAAATTGCTACATAGACAGGTATTTAGCCCCTCTTTCAAGAAATACCATTCAAATTTGGGTAGCACATTTTTTTGGAATGTAATATTCCCCAAAAATTCCCTCGAACCATTGTGTTCGCTATTTTAGATTGCCATTATTTATACATATAACATGTTTCCTAGTGGTTATGGTATCGTCCTTCAGAGTGGAGCTGTTTTCATCAGCTCTGCATATATTTTTGTCCATCAGGCAAGACTTTCTTTATACCTTGTGTTGCGAACTTATTTTTTTTTTTAAGATTGTCAGATGAAGTCAGAAAAAGAATGAAAATAAAATTTTGTTTTCTTAGGTTAGACTTTTTTATACCTTGTTTTGCAAACATCATCATCAGCGAAAAGAGTGGGGTCACAGAGGTCATTTCGGCTTTGTAAACTAGTAGTAAAATGACGTGTAGAAGCTGAAATTTTGCATCTAGGCGCTGTTTGGTGTGAAATTGAACCGCTGGTAATATCTTGCATTTTTTATGAATAATAAAGATGTAGGCAATAAAACATTCAAAAAAATATTTATTAAACATGATTGCTTGAGGTTATATGCAAAAATTTGTCATCCAGGTCTTCCGTTTCTGGTCTGTCGCCGTTTACACTAGGACTTGTGATGACACAATAGAGATCAAGCCACACATGAAGTGTAACCACCTATTTCCAGTATTTATTACCGATTTTCCGAAAAATTATAAGTATATATTTTTGAAGAAATTTTAGGTCGCGAAATTAGGTGGTCGACTTATACTCCATGTAAATGTTTACATAAAAAAATTGATCTTGGACACAACCAAGGCTCTATGCTAGTACTACCAGTCTAGACTAGGCTAGGGGCCTAGATCTACACTTAGCTAAATTTAGCCCAGCAGATAGCATTTCAATTTTATATTGTGAAAATAATACCAGCAAACACAAGTAGATGAAATATTTCTAACTTTATAATTCATAATTATGCAGTTATATCATATCGTTAACTCGGGCTGTCATTCGATGTTTACTACAGTATTGTATTTACCTTTATTTCCCAACGGCTCTGACCTAACGAAGTTGTGTACAACGGCCAATTAAAAAAATATAATCGTTTAGCTTCACCACCGAATGTGATTTTTGGCTCGCCTCTGATTTAAAAAAAATGTTTTGTATGCCCCAAAAACATCTAAATCATCTTGGAACTGCCAATAAATGACCAAAAACGACCAAAACATTTTTTTTACCGTAAACAAGCATGGTGGAGTGCAATCTTTTTTTTGTAGGAAGGTTTGTTAAAATTTCATGAATTATTCATAACCATATTTTGCACATGCGCTACTTCCAAGTCTGTGTCAGCTTATGGTAAGCCTGATATCAGCTGTTCTATCGTAGTAGGACCTAGTTGTGGGCTTTGTATTTGAATCAGTGGAAAAATAAAACCACTGATTGAATTGACTCAGTTGATTCTGAATTTTAATACATTAGCTTAAATTCAGTATCCGGAACACAAAATTACGTGATCAAACATCAGACAGAAACATATGGGTCGTGACCCAAACATTGGGTCGCGAAGAAATTTTGATGGATCGCTTTAGATAAAAAAATATTGATGTCCACAATTATTATTGGCGGGCGGCAGATTCACTAAACAAGGTATTAAAAAAGCCTCATTTTATGGAACTCATAATTAGCACTTGTTCATAGTATTAAAAATTCTCAATTTTGTTTCTCATAGTGTTACCAGAAACTATCTTGATTGGTTGACTACCTTACCATGGGGTGTGTTCAGTGATGAGAACTTAGATATTAAGAAGGCACGCCAGGTTCTGGAAAATGATCACTATGGAATGGAAGATGTTAAAACTAGGATTTTGGTAGGTAAACAACGTGATAACTATTGATATTAATTCATTGAAAAAAAAATTATAAGTTTAGTATGAGAATTACTAGTTATCTAATTATTTTATTAGGACATTATTGCTATAATAGTTTTTGAGGATTAATGATTTACACAAATTTTGAAATTATAGCCTTTGAATAAAGGCTATTATTGTCATTAAATTTTTAATTCAGAAACACATTGACAATTTTCGTCTGCATTCAATACAATGCAGTCTTTTATCCTCATAAGTTACACAATCTTGATGTTAACCCTGAACTTATTTCTTGGATCAGTAGCTTGCTTATAGGTAACAACAAGTTGTAATTTCTGGCTCTCTATCTGATAAAATTGTTACATACAAATGTTGGATCAACAAGTAAATTTATACAGTAGTACATATCGTATGTACTACTATATTTATACAGTAGTACATATGATATGTACTACTGTATAAATATAATCATTAGAGATGATAAAAATGAATATTGTTTCATTATTAATTGCCGTTATAGTGAAATTTTTAGTCTATCGTCTGTTAAAACATTTAAAATAAATACTTATGGCCTGGTAGTAGTACCTTTATTAATTCACCTCTATTCAGTATTGATTCAGTTAAACGTTTCAATGTACAAAATATGTAACAACACACCCCACAACCACACCAATTCCCACCACCAACAATGGTTAAATGACGCCATTGTCGAGTGGGCTACAGCATCATTGATGCTCTCATTTACCAGAGATTTTACTATGTGTACGACAGCAGAAAAATTTGGGCACGCTATTTGATTTGACCAATCAAATCCATTGTTTTAAAAGCATTAAATTGTGAACACTGCAGTTCCTGGACTATTCGATTTATGACGTAATGTTTATTAATATGTCTATATGCCAACTCACTAAAATTTAATTATGTCTGATGACAATAAATGATGTTGACATTGAAATTGTTACTTAATATAATATTTAGGTTTTACCATAGATAGCAAACTGAAATGGGATGAGTAATGTTCAAGTTCAAGTTTATTTAAAATCATGTTCGCAACTTCCAAAAGAAGTTGAGTTGCATTGATTTGTACACAATAATTAAAAATACATTAGAATATAAATATATAAATATAGTACACGAGAAAAAAAAAAGAGACAAATTGAAATAGAATAAAGTTTACAAGAGGTTACAATATTCAAAAGTTACAATTTCATAATTAAAAACACAATAAATAGTAATTACGTAAAGGTACAAAATACGGTAAAAAGACGGAAGAAAACCACGGTTGAATTAAAAAAGTAGAAGGGCCTAGGGTCACATTAACATTAATAATTAATAAAATTCGCAAATTGAGTTAAAAACACATCACAGAAAAGTTCATTAAATATTAAATAAATCAATCAAAAGCAAAGGTAACAACAGGTTATATTTTATGCAGATTTCACATAGATGTAAAAATTATTAAACTATTCTATTGTCAGTCATGCAAAGTGAAATTTTATACAGGTGCTTAATATGGTTCAGAGGTATGAGAAAAGGTGATTTGCACAAATTACAAGTAATTGTTAATAAAGCATGTAGATTTTTTAATGGAACAGATTCGATTTACACAAAGATGGCAATCCCTGCCGCCACTGGGAATATCAATACAGTATTTAAGATCTAGATGCCCTCTAAAAACATCAATGTGTGGAACATCACGATTCTTTAACTCTTTTATACCGTTTTGTATCTTTATGCAAAAAGACTAAGTATTTATAATTATTAACATTAAATGTATGCTCTGTAATTTGTTGTGTCTATAAAATAGGTTATAGTATCTTTGTATTATGTCACAACTTCAAATAAAAAATGTAATTTCTGTGAGGACAATAAATTTGATTCTGATTCTTTTTCATTTAATTGAATATTAAGTTCATTTTTCTGAGTTTATAGGAGTTTATTGCTGTCAGTGAACTGAAGGGGTCAACGCAGGGCAAGATATTATGTTTTTACGGTCCACCTGGGGTTGGTAAAACAAGTATTGCACGGTCCATCGCAAGAGCATTAAATAGAGAGGTAACAGATTAATATATTTATTACTCAAACTTTTGCTCAGATAATCGAATGTTATTTTCACTGGTAAATCTTTCACACATAATAAACATACATAATTGACGTGTATTTTGTGAATATTTCTTTTATATTCTTCAACAACTAAATAATATTCAGATTTATAAATGAAAATCAGGGCACTATATTATAAGTATACTACCGTATTCTTGTATTTGAGAAGTAAATTTACTACCCCCCCCCCCCCCATGAAGTCTTTTCTGCTTAATGATTTTTTAAATTATTCATTTTGTTGCCAAGAATACTGTTGTCAGTGATGAGCTGCACCCTGGGATAAGTGCACAGTGTGTGCTTGTCCTCATGAACTGTCCAATCACATGGATAAGATGAATGACATCTCCAAGTGCACAGGGGCCATCTGAGACCACATGTGACAACAAGTAAATTAATATGAAATGTATTATTCAAGATTTTTAACTAGATTGTTGTATAGTAATTTTTTTTATTTTTTTGTATCATAATGTAGATGTTTTTAAAGAAAATTTGTGGATTTATTTTCAGTTTTAAAAATAATTATTTTCTCCCTAGTATTTTCGATTCAGTGTGGGTGGCATGACTGATGTTGCTGAAATTAAAGGTCATAGGTAAGTTTTATTTTTATGTGATTTGGAATGTATTGAGTAGAATTTTGTGGAAATGATTGCGTTGATGATTAATGTAGTATATGGTGATGTTGGTGGTATTGGTTATGGTGATGAATATTAAATTGATAATGTTTATGGTAATAGTGATGATGATTACTATGGTCATAAGGATGATGATGATTCTACAGTACTAGTAAGCAATTAAAATGGGCATGGGCAAGTGAAAAAAAAAATTTTTTTTGAACAAATTGCGCTCGAATTGTAACTGTTATTAGATTTTAACATGGACTTTTGCTGCGTATGGCACCCCATATAAAAATACCTCATGATGACTAACCTATGGGCCTGTTTTTACTAGATAGAAAAAAAATTGATTAAAAATTGCTTTTTTTCTTGCAGTAGAAACGGGACCAGTTAAAAAAATATTGATTAAAAACAATTGATGTGTTTGAATGGCAGATAACCAATTTTGGCTGTGCACTATTTAACTGCAACACAAAAATCGATTATCAAGTGAAATGTGACCTCCAGGTCAAACCAGTGCAAAGCTAGATCGTATCACCCGCAAACTTTCAAAATGATTAGTCCTTTTGTTCATGTCCTAGGCCTACAAGCTAAAACGTCTATAAACATGTGAAGTGATGAAATTACTTGTTTTGTAATGATTTTGTAATGGGATATTGGACCTAAGCCTCTCCACTCTTCTGGGCCTACCGTTGTCCTCGTTCGCTCACTCGTTCGTTGCGCCATTAGCACAACCGAAAGCATTCGCTTTCTCACCGCACAACCGTATCCTCCTTGTGTCATCATTACCAGAATTCATGTGAAAATATATTGTCTCGATGGTGAGAAAGAAAACTAAAACGTGTTGTATAAACAAAATGGTTACGTAATTTCCGCCATGAAAACCGACTTTAGTAAAGATAATAATATTCTATATAGAATAGTGGCTTTTTTTAAGTCTATAGATAGGGGCATACAGTGGCATTATCAGAAGTAATTTCAGCCATTAGTGGTCTCGGAAATCCAAGATGGCCACCAAAGTCCGCCAAATTGTTATATTGCTCCCTTAATATTCCATATAGAACAGGGTTTTTTTTTTCTGTGATTTGAGATGTTAGGGGCACACAGTAGCGCCATCAAAAGACAATTTTAGTCATTAGCTGTTGCAGAACTCCAAGATGGCTGCCAAAATGGCTGCTAAATGTAAATATTGACCATTCACATCCTCAGTATTCCATAGAAGTCTTTTTTTGTTGGCAATTTGAGATGTTATTTTTAGGAGCATATAGTTGCACCACCAAAAGTCAAATTCAGCTACTTGCAAAAATCCAAGGTACCCACCAAAATGGTTGCCACATTTTGAAATTTAAAATAACTTCTATGCTATTCCACATTGGACAACGGTTACAGTATGGTTTGTGAGGTATGTCATAAGAGTTCAGTGATGTGATGTGATGTTGGTAGTTAAGTACCATTTTGCACAACACAAAAAAAAAAAAAAAAAAAAATCAGATGACTTATAAGAGAAACTAGTTTGGTGGACTACCCTAATTGACTTTGGGAGTCATGTACCATTTTCCACAACCCAACTTGGTAACTGTTGGAGAATACAGCAATACTGGTAGAACCTATCACCAGATAATGAATGAGAGCCTTTGGCAAAGAAGATGTAACAAAATCTACCATAGTTTGGTTGACTGCTGGGACCCTGTTTGACACTGGAAATAATTAAGTACCATTTTAGAAAACCCAACATTACGACTGTTGGAGATTACACTAATGGCAGTAGAACCTACCATCAAATGAATGTCTTGCCCCACAAAATCGAACTAAAGATGTCTTTGTGAGACAGGAGACTCATTTGATGATTGGCTCTACTGGTATTGGTGTATTTTCCAACAATTGTTTGACATTTTGGAGTCAAGTACTTTTTTTTAACCTAGCCAACATTGAGACTTGGAGAATACACCAATACTAGTAGAAACGAACAAATGATAAACTTGGAGAAAAGTTGGTAGAAAAGTTTTCATAAAGCAATAGCAAATGGTAATTGTGACTATGGCTTCCACTTCAGAAAATAGTGATTCAGGCGAAAATGTATTTCTCGGTAAATGGGAGTTATGGTCAATATTAAAATTTAGTGGCCATTTTGCTGGTCATTTTTGATTTCTGCAACTGCTAGTGGCTCAATTTGACTTCTGGTGGTGCTACTATATGCCTTAACTCTTCAAGTACGTGCAGACTCAAAACCTGCTGCTGTGCCATGCGAAATATTGTGTAAAGTATGGTGAATATTAAAAATTACCATTAATTGCAGTACTACAAGTTGTCTAGTAACAGTAAATTGAATGAGAAACGTTCCCACAAGTAGGTTCCCACAGTACTCTTGAGAGAATTTCAATCGAGGTCATTGTCAGTTTAGAGCTTGACGGTGTCGGATGTGTTCGTTTAGAGTTAGAATTGAATCGGTAAGTATTCCATTTTCAAACATTTATTATGTCAGGTCTTAGAAGTGTTAAGGTCATGATAATTTTATTGATGTTTAGATCAGTGTCATTGTGTCCTGTTTGTGAGATTTTTAGTGCAGCTATATTTGTGCTTTTTTATAATTTATTTAGGCCTTGGTGGGATGACGCTAGTCTTTCAATTTGAGGCTAGGCCTAGGTCTAACCTAATATTAGGTATTCCATTAGCTTCTCTACCTAGGTTAGATCTAGGCTTAGGTTAAGTTATGGCGAGGTGTCTAAACGAACAGCGTTATTTTTCTATTTGATAATAATTAGAAATTGCCAGATTATTTTGATGTCTGTATATGGCAACAGGCTCATCATAGACGCCATATTGTAATTTTGTGAAAATATTTTGTGATAATATTTTTTTCCATGATTATACTTAGGAGGTAGGTGTATATTTTAATCTCCAAATATCTTACTAATAAACGAACATCTAATAAAATATCGAATATAATAATAGTAATCGATAATTATATTGAATATATATGTTAGTAAAACAGGTTTTATGTGTGAATTTGGTAACAAATATTGCGCTTCAATCTTATGTTAATTTACACATGTACATTTGTTTGCAGGTTGTTGGTGGTTGCACCTGTATATTGTGGGTTTGCAGCTTGAACAGAGGACCCCGCGGAAAAGACCTCAAATACCAACAGAGGGTGCACCTCATCGGATGACATCGGCCAATGACGAAATGATCTGAGATTAGGTCATTTACCTGATAAAGATACTATTTTGAAACCGGTTTCAATACTGCATTATTTAAACAAGTATAAATATTAAAAACCATATTATTGATAAAGCATTTATTTAAATACTGAAAAGCATGTGCATAAAGCATTTATTTAAAAAATGAAAATGATATTGTAGATAAAGCATTATTTTATTTTAAAGATTTTAATACTGAGAAGCACGATATGCATAAACCATTTTTTTTAAACAGATCTTTTTTCTTTAAGGCATGTTCTTCATTTAGCCACTTTTTTCAAACAGTTTTAAATATTGAGAAAATATTAAAAAGTTTTAAATATTTTTTTGTTAAAACAGAATTAAATACTATGAAAGCTCTTGTGGATAACACTTTTTTTAAACATATTTAAATAATGTGAAGAATATTCTGGTTAAAATAAAACAAGATTTACTACTAACATGTCTCTTAGTATTATGTATGTATTATAATGTTGTTTTGTAGCATTGTAAGCAAAACTTTTGAAACCCATTCTTATAAGTCACCAAATCATACCAACCTTTAGTACTAAAACTAAAAATCAGTACAACCTTTTATGTACTGAAGTATCTATTAGTATTTACATGAATTGCATACTCGCAGCATTTTATTTTCTGTTAGAAACTGCTAGTATAATAATAAAGGAGGACCTGGCATCGAGCAGAATGAAAAATAGTTATAACACTGACTGGGATGGTAATGTCGATCAGTATTTTGTTTACGCAGTAATAATCCATTTTCAAATTATTTTCAGGCGAACATATGTTGGAGCGATGCCAGGAAAAATTATCCAATGTTTAAAAAAGGTGAAAACTGAAAATCCCTTGATATTAATTGATGAGGTAAGTTTGTTTAATTTGTAAGTGTATTTTATAACACGCCTAAATAGATCCTTGTCATTTGATTGGTGGATTTTGTATCATGTGACATTGGTTATTTACACCATTTCATCACTCATCATGGAAATTTAGTTCCACTGTGCATTTTTACTTCCATCCATGCATTTTCATTCCATCCATTTTGCTCCATTGCACAATGCCTAGGATACGATATCTTTTGATTGGTTAAAAATGCGCTGGACTATTCAATTTTAAAAAAGGGCCTTCAATACCATAGTACTGTATGTTGTTTTTTAATTCAGGTAGACAAGATGGGAAGGGGATACCAAGGAGACCCATCATCTGCACTGCTGGAGCTGTTGGACCCTGAACAAAATGCAAATTTCCTTGACCACTACCTTGATGTACCCGTTGACCTTTCAAAGGTTTGTATCTTGTTTTGATTTTCAAAAGCTTTAATCCACTGATCTATTTACAGTGCTAATTTTACATCTGTAGACCCCATAGCAGGGGCTACAATTGTAATAATAATTGTAACTAGCGTATACCCGTGCTCCTTGCGGTGTTGAATGGGTGGGGAAAGGTGGCGATGTACAGTATATTGTTGAATGTTAAGGGAAGTCTTAACTCTTACATGTAATATTCGTTAGCCACCATATCGGTTGTGTTGACTTTTCATCACAACAACAACCACAATAACAATAATAATAATAATAATAATAATGATAATAATAATAATAATTCAATGGGACTAAATTAAAATAATTTGCGTTCTGTTATGACAAATGCTCATTTAGATAGCCTCATGATGGTTGGAATACATCGTGATAAGTGAAGCAACCTCGACCATGACAACGTGGTTGACAGATTTCATGCAAAATTTCCAAAATATAGAATTTCACTTTCAAGAATGAGGATTTGAAAATAAATTAGATGGTTACATTGCATACTCTTTGTCTTTAGGTTTAGACCTACCACGAGGCCTAGGTCCGATGAGTGTGTATGATGCGAATTGGGCCTAGAATTATTCTATTACGGTATTATATTATAGCATTGGCCCTCAGAAATTTGATGACCGGGTGCCAGACCAAATTTTTTTTTTCTTTTTATTCAATAACCTTGTGGCATTGGACGAAAGAGATCGGGATGCGGAACCCCACTGGAGGAGGTGGTAACAGACATCTTTGTGGCCGAACCCTGTCCTTCGCATGAAAACTTATAAAATATTGAACGACCTTGTGGCATCGGACGCCGGGTGGGGACCCTGGCTGCCGCTACCACTGCTCGGGTGTGGTCTATCAGCTTTGAGAGCATTCACAATGCATTAATTTACTGCACTATGACATTATGATCCACACAGCTATGGGTCCCTCAATTTTTTTTTTTTTTAGAATCACAATTTATATAGCACCTATCGCAATCTGCAGGTCATACTAGTCGATTATACAAGGCGCTGGCATCATTATTTCCCTGGTCACTGGATACTAAGTTGGAAGACCCGCACGTTGTGCAACTTCCTCTGCTCCCTTGTGAGTATCTCTGGTCATTGCTGCTCGTACGCGCACGACTGATACATTCAATGCCATACTATCCTACCAGGTACCCATTTATACTCCTGGGTGGAGAGAGGTAAATGTAAGTAAAAATCAGAAGTCCAACACCTTACACGCTGCGCCACACACTTCAACTAAGTTCCCTGGTTTTTCAGTTTCCATATTGACGTCATTTCAAATATTGTAGTGTAATATTTTACCAATGGCGCATAAGAACGATGGCCCTCGCAGAGGTCTGGGTCATCCAACAATTATTTTGATTGAAACATGTATTTTCATATACGCAATTATGGATGGACGTAGAGGTGAGTCATACCAATCTGTATTGTGATTTACATCATACTCAAAACCATTAAATTTGGGGTTTTTTTTCTTTAAAGGTGCTTTTTATTTGTACTGCAAATGTTATTGACACGATTCCAGACCCATTGAGAGATCGGATGGAGATGATCGATGTGTCTGGCTACGTCGCTGAAGAAAAAGTTTCTATTGCAGAGGTGAGTAAAGAACAAGAGAGAGCATTACCGTACTCGCTGCTACTTTGGGATCAGGTTCAGTACTTGCTACTAAGTGCTCGGTGGTCTAGTGGTTAAGACACTAGGCTAGTTATCTGGAGGTTGTCATTCTGTATGATAACACATCAGGTAGGGCAAAACATCATTCCTATTAAATCCCCCAATGAGTCATTCCATATGAATCCAACACACTTTTTTGCCCGACCCCCTTCAAATCGCCCAATATTTTGCATGTTGGGGGTTCTACCTGAGATAACCCCACAGTGAAAATTTTGGCTCCGCACCAGCATTTTCTGATGAGTTATTAATACAGTGTTAGAGAGTAAAATAATAGCTATAAAATGGTATAAAAAATCATTCAAATCGGACATTTCCTTATGAATTTACAAGCGTTTAACCACACAGCTGTTTAAAGAACAATATGTAAGAAATTAGCCGTCAAAGTTTATGATTTCAGGCATTGTTTTAACATTGAAAATGGGGAAAATAACAGCATAGAATGATGTGTAGATATATAAAGGTTAGTTTAGTGCAATAAAATAGATTTTTTTAAATTTGACATTCCAGCATGTTTTGGCCATTTTCTCTGAAACACGATTTGCGACGAGTGACTGTTTGGCTTGTCTTTGCCACATATATCAAGTGACGAAATAAATGAAATATCAAAGACTCTTGTAGTGGCTGCAGATATATGAAGGTCTGCAATATTTTTTCATTTGTTAGAGTGAAGTTGTGACATGGCTATTAAGATGGTTGCCTCAGTCCCAGGGTCCTAGGTTCAAATTCTGAGAGAATTTTTCTTTTTAATAAAAACAACTCCACTTAATTTTAAGTCTTGTGTTTATAGAGCATTACTGTACATTTTTCCTGTGTGTAGTGCAGTCACTTGCTTTAAAATTAGATTGGAAAAAAAAAGTATTATAGTTACATTTTTATTATGTTAATTCAAACAGAAATATCTACTACCACAAGTAAGAGATCAAACTGGTATTAAAGAAGAAGAAGTGAACGTCTCAACGGAAGCTCTAAATGTTTTAATTAAAGAATATTGCCGTGAAAGTGGAGTACGTCATTTACAGAAACAGATTGAAAAGGTATGACGCTGGTGTTCATCAGCCTTTATTTGGGGGTTCAACCCGTCGCTGTGCTTTTGTCCTTCAGCAAGCAGCAATACCTAAGCATGTGCTTCAATAACATACATAGGTATGTTAGTATCTTGCACATACTGTACATTAGCAAAAAAATTGTATTTGAATGAAAAAGCATTTATTTATATGAATGTTGAAATACAGACTGTAGCCAGGAATAATGGTATATCCATTGCATTTTTTTTCGTAACCATTGACTTAATTTTTTTCTTTTTTCAAATATTTCCAGATATTTAGAAAAGCAGCATTTAAGATTGTAAATGATGGCAAGAGTAACCTTGTCATTGCTAAGGATAATTTGCAGGACTTTGTTGGAAAACCAATTTTCACAAGTGATAAAATGTTTGACAAAACACCAGTTGGAGTTGTCATGGGCCTCGCATGGACATCAATGGGTGAGTGGAGCTTTCTCAAATTCTTGTCAGTGATAATAACATTTTGTAAAATATTCATTTTTAATAAGTTTAGATTTTTGTTAGATATAAAAGTCTTGTTTTTTCTATCAAAAGTTTGAGCAGTATTATTTAATTTAAATGATGCAAAATATAATTGTAGGATTTAGGTTTCTATTAATAAAATTTTTGAACGAATCAGTGGCAGATTCAAAGGGGAGGGAGCCAGGCCAGCCTGCCTGGCGTCTCCCCCTCCCCCCACCAAATGTTTCAAAATAAGAAAAAATAGAGAAAAAAAGGGAAATTATAATCAATTTTAGGTCTGAGAGTGCCGTTTTCAGCCATAAAAACGGCCATAATCCTAACGTTTCTTACCGCAGCCGCAACCATGGTGGGGCTGCTGTGGTCTAGACTCTCCATCTGTGAAAATCCCTCCCTGGCCCCCTCTATTTAGAATTCCTGGATCTGCCACAGCAAATTAAAGAAGTTGTATTTTATTTTGTTCTTTAGGTGGATCTACACTTTATATTGAAACAATAACAAAACGCTTAGAAGACCAGGACAATTCTGAGAGCATGGGCTCAATGGAGCTTACTGGCAATTTAGGGGATGTGATGAAAGAAAGTGCTCATATCGCATACACATTTGCTAAAGCGTTTTTACAAACCAAGGAACCAGGGAACAGAGTTCTTCAACAGTCTCATATTCATGTACACGTACCAGAGGTAAGGCCAGCAGCGTTCATTAGATAAGATATGAGGCTGTTGGTCTCAGTCAATGATTTAAAACTAGTTAATAGTCATGGAACCTGTATTTCGTGTGCAACAGAGTGTTTGTGCAATGCAGAAGTGTTTGATCAGTTTGATTAAGCCCTTGTGCATTTTGCTTGTGTCCTTGTGCTAGGTACTTTATATACATTGCTTTTCCCTACTTCTGTGCTGATTACAACTGCAACACTTAAGAATGTGGCCCAAATGATCTGAGAAGAAATCACTCCATATAAAGAAAGGTGCTATATAAAGTAAATAAATAAAAAATAAATAGTTTTGATTGAGTGCCATTTATGAATTGCTTGAATTGCTAAGAGGTAAAAACGTGGTCAGAATAGTATGCAAATTTGAAATAAATATAATGATAGTATCTTATCTAAATTTATCATCAATATACATAATAGTTTTTGAATATATTTGATTGCTTTTTATTGTTATGCTTTTTTTATTTGACATAAGGCAATTTAACAACATGACGCACATCTCAAGACATCAAAGGTTATAAGTCTGGCATCGACATTCTACATATTGCGCGCCATACACGCTTGACTGAGTTTACCGTGCCATGATCGTCACAAAAATCATAGAAACCAAACCATAATTCACCATCGGCGTGTGACAAAATTAACCACGCACGTGTCAGTTGCCATGATAATCGTATATCGTGCCATGATTACAAAGTCCTAATGATTTTTTACACTAACATTATATGAGGTGGTGTCCAGTGGTTCATGAGACTCACTTTGCAGAAAAAATAAATTTTCAAAATAACAGTTTATTGTTATATAAGAATGAGAAATTTTATGAAAATCGTAAATTCTATAACTTTTCATTTTGTTGGTCAATTTTCATGAATAAATTGTAATTTATATAAACATTTTACAAATTATGTGGTCAAATGAAATCAGATGTAACAGACATTGCGAAGTACCCAAAATTAATAAAATAGTAACTAACACTATTAAATGTATGGCACACATAGATAGATGTCGATGCCACAGTTAAGATCAAAGGACTGTACGCATGTGCTTTGTTCGCAAGCAGAGATGTGCTTCCCATTGTTGACTTGCCTTGGTATAATCTTATCAGGGTGCAACTCCAAAAGATGGTCCAAGTGCTGGGTGCACGATAGTAACAGCTCTTCTCTCGTTAGCAAAACGAAAACCAATCCGACAGAACGTTGCAATGACTGGGGAAGTATCGTTAACGGGCAAGGTGTTACCAGTTGGAGGTATTAAAGAGAAAACAATTGCTGTAAGTTAGTAATTTCCTATTTTTTATTTACAACTAAAATGGCAACTAAGGCTGTAATGATAGCATTTACACAAATATATATATATTATAAAATATTATATATAAAAACTAAAAATTTAAACAAAATAATGTATTTTTGTTGTCAACGTGTATAATAGTCTTCTTACTTCAAGAAACTATTTTTGTGTACCATTCATCAGTTGTCTCATGCATTTTGGTTTTTCTAAATGGTAAGGCTGAAATCCATAATTAATAAAGATATACTATCAGTCAAAAAATCGAAAAAAAAAAAAAAAACCTTAAAAATTCAGTTGAAATAATGAATAGGGCATTTCACAGAATCCAGAGCAATTAAAAATATATTTGCCGACTTGCATGCATTTTTCTAGTAGCCAGTTTAAGAGTCTACACATCCGCAAAGATTTTAACGAATAATTCATTAGGTATTTTCCAGTGAACTTTCTGTCGCCTTACCAATGCTTTTCTGAAACACAGCTAGTTGTCTGTTGTTCAGCGGCGGCAAGAGCTTGTGTGACTCGTGTGACAAGACAAGTTTGCACGAGATTGTGTTGTCTTTTAAGGCCAACCTATGCCAGACCTATCCAAGGGGCAGAGAAAAAAGGAGTAAAATAATGAGCAATGTAGCCAACAGTCGTCGTCGACTGACAATTATCGTGGGGGTTTGTGGCGCAGCGTGTTAAGCATACCTCAAAACTGTTGCTATATGGTTTACTTTACGAATCTTGTTATTTGATATTTACTTTGTGTGGTTTTGCTTTGTAATTCTGTAGTTTGTCTTTCTGTCTTAATTATACCTTTATGTTAAGGTGAATATCAATAAAGAATATGTATCTACCTACCTGGATCTACCTGGATATAGAGATGTGAAGCTATCATGTAGCTTATGTGTTTCTCTTGACATTTCTTTAGGTGCATACGGTTGAACTTTAGCGGGTGGTTAGACCAGTGCTTTTGTAGACGGTTTTTGAATTGGTTAATTGTGAGAGAGTCCACAATTGAGTTTGGTAAAGCGTTCCAAGAATTAATTGTTCTAAATAAAAATGCATTTTGTCGAGAATTTGATTTCATTCTTGAATTTTCCATTGTTGACTTTAGTGGATGTACCTTCATTTCTCTTTAAAAAGTCGCTAAGCTAAAACTTATCAAAACCTTGGATAATTTTGAATATTTGCAGCATTTTTGCTCTTTTCCTTCCTTCCCTTCCTTTTTATGATTAAGGATCAAACTAGTATCAACATATTATATGGGGAATTACATTTAACAGCATAATTAGTTAATAAATAACTGCTGTGATGAAACCTGGCATCTGCAATAGATTCTTATTCAGTCCATCTATCTTTCATATGAAAGAATAAATAAAATTATTAAAACATATAAAATTATACTGTAGTTTTATAATTGGTTTTATTAAATGAAGGTTACACTTATGCTATGTTCACACACACGGCGTAAGCTAACCCATGGACTAAAATTCCAAAGTGTTCACACAAACGGCGTTCGTTAAACTAGTAGTAATATAGGCCTATAAAGGGCGAATAGTTTTCAGTTTTAAATAATGTACGGGTTCTTAACTGTAGTAAAATTAACAGTGCATCATGAAAACTTTTAAATCTGAATTGTGAACTGATATGATTATTGTATTTTAAATGAACAATTTTACTTCTGATTTTCCAGCTAGCATTGAACAGTTGTTGGTGTTGCAGGTTTTTAATAGACAGTCGAAATAGGTTAAAATATCTTACAAAACACAATCAACAAATCATATACATTATAACTAAGTAAAATGCAATAGAAAAAGAACCCCTTTACCATTTCATTCATAGAGGGCACAGGAAAGAGACCAAAGTAGTTAATATATTGCAATCGTGATTGGTCAATCTCTTGAAATGAGGTCAAATCATTCAAGCATCACTGGAGTTAGCTCAGTGGCGTTAGCTAATCTGGGGTCTGCGGGTAGCGTTAATAACGCCAAGTACGTGGCGTAGTGAGTGGCCTTAACAACGCCACTGCCTAGTTCACACACAAAGGCGTACGCTACGCCAGGCTTAAGCCAGCCTTACGCCGTGTGTGTGAACATAGCCTTAAACCTATTACACAGCAGTAGTATATTGTACTGTTGGTCAAGGCCATATGCCTATCTATTGGCACTGCATGGCTTCTATTTCTTCACTCAGCATACTCCTAATAATAATCTTAAAAATAATAATAATAATACTATTTAATTAATAATTATATAACAATAATTATATAATAATAATAATAATAACCTTGTTATTAAAACATAAATACAGCAAGATCGTATGTAAATTAACAATTCCAGGTACCAATCAAACTATAGGGCCTATACCCTGTACGTTCTATGCTGCGTACATAGGCTAGTGAAACCCTTGCCTTGTTGCAAATACTGAATTTAGGCCCAACATTGTCGTCGTTAAAAAAAAATTCACCGGGGAAGCTTTGATGATTACAACAGTGAGGGTTTTTATGATTAAGGATCAAACCAGTATCAACATATTATATGGGGAATTACATTTAACAGCATAATTAGTTAATAATGGGCTGCCTACCTTTTTAACTTAAAGTATATTTTTAGGAGGCTATTGTTTTTGCTTGTGTTGTTCTTCATGCTGTTGTCGTCCTTGTCGTTGTTGAGTAAATTGTTTGTTACGTCCGATTGTTTTCAGAGTTTGCAAAATGCAAGATGTTAATAAGAAGATTTAGCCTATTGTTTTTGGTACATGTGTAAATATGTTAATTGCTCATTTGCATAATAAATTTTTCACAAACAGGTATTATATGCTAGTTGCCTTGATAAGGTAGTCCGATTAGTTTTAAACTTGACAGTATGTAAGTCTTTTGTGTTTGGTATATGTATCAATATGCTGATTGCTCACTTGCATAATTAAAATTAATTGATCATGAAATTTGTGCAATTACTAAAGTTTGATAAGTCTGATTGGCTTCAAACTTTACAGAATTCAAGATGGTAATATAAGAAGACATTGCCTATTTTTTTAGTATTTGTGTGATTATGCTAATTTCATAATTAATATTTCACTAATGAGGAATCTTACGCTAAATGTGAGGAGGCTATGCTTTTACTGCACAGCGTAAAAGGAGCATTTCTAGTTGAAGCTGAGAAAAGGCTCTTCTTTGGTAAAAAAAATACATTGTTTTCAGTTTTTATTAGGTTGGTAGAGTTTATACAAAAGATAAAACCTGAATTGTTAACATGTTGAGTGTTGAGCCTTTTTTTTAGTTTTATATCCTTACCAAGGCATAAAGGTGCCACCCACCGTAATGAAAATCATTCCCATCAACTGTGATGAAACACAAAAAAACATACAGTACAATATTTTTTTCAGATCATTACTTCCGGAGTGAGTTTTGACCACTGCATGCATACAGTAGTGGTATATTTAGACAGATATGGACTATGTGAATTTCTCATAAGAATGTTTAATGTTTGTTTATCTCTTTGCAGGCCAAACGTAGTGAGGTGGACTGTATCATTTTGCCAGCCGGAAACCGCAAGGATTATTCTGATCTACAGAGTTTCATCACTGACGGACTCGAAGTTCACTTTGTAGACAATTATAAAGATATTTATAACATAGTTTTTAGTTGAAACACATTAGGTAATGCTGTAAATTATAATAATAAAGATTTGGCATTATTATGCTGATTTTAAAGAACTTCTAACAATGTCCATTGATTTACAATAGATATTAAGACGAGTGATACTAATTATTGGTCATTGTTGTTATTTTTATTTTGTTAATTTTAATATAATCACTTAGCCTGACGAAGTCATGTTGATAGTTCACATCAAATTGTTCTTGGTTTATTAACGATGAAATAGTAATAAGCAAATATTCAAATATTAGTTAATATAAGCAGTTGGGTCAGATATGCATGTATATAAAAGTGATGATTGTGTATATGTATGAAAAATAGGGACAACTGAAATTTATGATGCCTCACGATATATAGACTATATAGATATATAGATTTAGGGGGTGAATGGGGTGGCTTCTTTCAAGGCTAGATGCGCCATGGTGAAAACATGATGCAGACCTGTCTACTTTTATTGTCTGTTTTCTCACATGTAAAAAATCAGACAGAATAATTCTTGACAATAACAATGAATGGAAAGGGAAAGCGTGGCGCACAGAGAGACAGGAATTACAGGACTTTGTTTATTATTCATTATATTCCATTTTTGTAGAAATCATTAAACTGTTGGTGCATCATTAATTATATTCATTCAGATCGACTTCTAAAAATAATTACATTTTTAAAATTTGGTTTTAAAATCATGTTTTATATCATCAGAGCGTACATTCAATTTTTAGTTTACATAATACTGTAGATGTAGGTTGATAACTTATACATTAAAAGTAACAATATCCTTTTTTCCTCTGTTTGAAAACATTTTTGAAATATTAATTTCTAATATAGATTCAAACTATTGGTGTTGCATTTAAATCCAGTTTCAACATGCATTTTATTTAATTTTTAGTTTTCAGAATAAATGGAGATATCATTTATGTGAAGGTGGATTAGATGTTTTCTTTACTGTTTTATACAGTTATGTTATAGGGCTAAATGCAGAAATTCAACATAAATCGAAGTCAAGATGTGCTTTAGACATTGATAGTGTATTAGGCCAAAAAAAAAAGTTGTGTTACCCTCCGCGACCAACCAAAATTTTCCAAAAAATTAGCTCGACATTTTTTTATTTTTTTTATTTTGGTGATCCGCTTCACAAGCGGATCACCTCTTGTTAATGTCAGAGATCATCTCCTTTTTATTCTTCTTTCTTTCTCCCCATTTTTGTGTGCACGACATCTCAAATTTCCCGCGAGCTACGCACAATCGCGCTTCAACGAACATTTGGCTTAACTTAGAATAGTCGCAGGCTACGTTCAGACTTGGAGATAAGCCAGGCTTACGTCATTTTTTTACTCGAAGTCAACGCAGCGATTAAAGCCTGGCTTAGAAAAGTACACAGTGGCACGCCAGGCCTAGTTACCATAGGAACACAGCCCGGCTTGAGATAAGCCAGCTAGTTCAGACTGGCACATGGATAAACCCGGTAAGTTGAGCCGGGTTTATCCACATATTCTGAACTAGGCCACAATAAGGTTTTCAATGTGCTCAGTCATGCGTGACGTCATCTACGCGGAATTTTGCGTTTTTTTACATTATCGATCATATCATCCTAACCAATTATCATTTCTCAGTCATATTAGGTAGGCATAAACTTTAGGTAAGAAATTAAGAAATTTCATGGGTGTTACAAATCCTAATTTGATGTTTATTTTCCCTGTCAATGAGCCAGAAGTAGGCCTATATAATATTCTTCACAACCTTAGGTCTAAAAAGAGTCCAGGGTTCGACGACGTGCCAAAGGATCTCCTAAAAAATATCGCATTTGAAGTTACTTCACCTCAAATATTAAAATCGCAAAGGTGATTCCAGTGAACAAAAATTATCGCCCCATATCTCTTCTGACAGTTTTCTCTAAATTCTCGAAAGAATAATGTATTCACGTACGCTTGCCTTTTGAAACACGTATTGTATTCTCACCAACTCGCAATTTGGATTTCAAGAAAAAGCATTCTACCACGCACGCCGTTCTTGACGCTGTTGGAAACATCTTGGGGCCGCTTCTCTTTATTGTCTATATTAACGATCTTGTTAGATGTTCCAATGTCTCTTCCTTTACTATTTTTGCTGATGATTCAATATTTTTTGTTTTTGATAATAATGTTCACAATTTGTTTGCGCTGCAAACAGTGAACTTCTAAAAATTATGGAATGGACCCATGCCAATCGCCTCTCATTAAACACGAGCAAATCAAATTATATGTTTTTCAGCAATACTATCAAGGACGTCCCTGTCCCGATTTTGCTGAATGGGAATGAAATTTCTAGGGTTCCAGCTACCAAATTCTTAGGAATTTATATGGATGAGCAATTGGTATGGGACGTACATATGTACAATTGTGCATATGTGCTTTATAACTCTCTCGTTCTACCATATTTAAATTATGGTATTCTTGCACGGGGGAAAGCCAGTGTCGTTCATATTAACAGAGGCCATGTGATAAAAAAAGAGGGCGGTTAGATGCACTTGCAACGCAAAATGGCTGGCTCACGCTACACCACTTTTCCTATCCAGACTAACTAAAAGACAAAACATTGTCTTTCACTATGGACCGAAGTACTAGCTGGCTTTTTTTGCCTAAATCAATTAAATCTGCTACTCACCTCAACCAATTCAAAACTAAGCTAAAAAATCAAATGATCAAAAAATATCGTTGTGTATAAGTTAATAATAATATTATTATTATTAATAAATAAATAATTAAATAATAGCAAATATGTTAGATTATAGATGCGTTTCATGACAACTGGGCCCAAAGCACTCCTCATTCCATTCATCTGTTTAATTTGTACCGTTCTTCCCGGCTTGGCTTGCTTGCTTTGTTTTGTGCTTTGTTTGCTTGTTCTTCACTAATTTCTGAAGGTGGTGGTGATTTTTTTTTAAAATTTAATTCTCTTATTTAAGATTAGTTTTATTATTTAAGATTACAGTAATTTAATATTTAAGATTAGTCCGGGAGCCTAATTACAGGTCTTGGCCTCCTTGGTTCCCGGCACTTGTTTGTACGGTATTAGTTCAGAAACAAGTGAATAAAGTGAAATTATATTGAAACTGTTAAGGATGCAATAAGCTTATCAAAGAACGATAAATCACCTGGGGAAGATAACATCACAAATGAAATGGTGGACGAATTATGGAAGACTGAGCTCATTTTCAGATCTGTTCAAAAGAATTATATTTTTCGAAAATCGTCCCAATGACTGGAATTTCGATTGTACATTATCTCTCTTACATTTTGTGTATCAAAATTATTCAATAGAGTAATAGCAATGAATTTCGGAAGTCCAGGGAGGTTTTAGAAACGATCGAAGATTAAAAGATCATGTTTTTGTAGTTAAAAGCAGGGAACAGTGAATAAAGGAGGAAAAAACACGTATCTGGCTTTCCTGGACTTCCGAAAGGCATTTGATTGGAGAGATGGACTATTAAAAGCCATCTGGAATGTTGGGATTAAATTACGTTTATGGAGAATAATCGATAATATGTATGCGAATGTCAAAGGAAAAGTTAAATTTGGGGCAATTTAACAAACGAATTTTGTTTTTTTTTTTGTAACAGGGAGTTAAACAGGGTTGTGTCTTATCCCCCATACTCTTTTGTATATTCATCTACGAGTTAGCAAAAATCCTAAAAACAAATGATATTGGAGTCCATGTGACAGGGAGCATTGTTTTGGGCGGATGACATAGTCCTAATGGCTGAGAAAGAACGACAAATGGACCAAATGTTGGAATTAACAGCAAAATTTGTTGCAGATTAGAAGATGGAATTTACCCATACTAGTATAATGTACTAGTTGTTGGGAAATGTACAAAGTACTGTATGGACATTAGGAGAGCATTCGATACGTGAATGATATCAAGATATTTAAATGATCATAACCATGTTCAATATGTAGTGCAAAAATGTTACCGGCTTATAAGTTATATAAAACCCATAATAGGCAATGTTAGAGTGTACTACGGTGACATTCTTTGGCGAACGATCGCTCTTCCATCAATAAATTATGTTAGTTCAATCTGTAGGAAGTAAAAGTTACTGTGTCAGAATTGAACGATTGCAATTGCAAATGGCTTCCCGTAATACCCGTGTTACTTTATATGGGGATCTTGGATGGGCAAAGATTTCGTTCATTCAAAACTAACATAGATAGAATGGAGATAGAATTTTAAAGATTGAAGACATCGTTGGCCGAAGATTTTACTGAAAACACTTGTACGAATGTCAGAGAACCTTAATGATTTTTCTTTCAAAATTCCTTTTTGTATTCAAAATATCGTAAATAATTGTGATACAAATAATATATTCCTTGGTATTCGTAATTGTAATGATACTATTGTAATGATATGCAATGGGCTTCAAAAACAAAAGGTATTATGATAGATCAAACTCTCTCTCAGTGGATTGATGAAAGAAAAAGTAAACCGTCAATCAAAAATTATATGAGTATAAAAAAAATGAACCCAAGCTTGAAGAATATCTTTTCGACGCCATCGACTTCCAGGAAGCATCTTTAAAATTTAAATACATTTCCCCTCAAACGTAAACTATCTAAATGATAGTGCTAACGGTATATGCAAAATATGTAATATAAATGAAGAAGAAACTATCATGCACTTTCTTTAAACTTGCCCTGCTCTAGATATTGATAGAATAAAGGAATTTGAAAAATTCAAACAACTTTCTGATAGCAATCGTTTTAATGTTTACCATCAATTTCAACAACTTGATATCCGAAACAAACTACTCTTTATCTTAGGAAATGACAATTATTTGTTCTCTAACAACTTAAATATGTAATTGATAAATTTCCAAGTCATTGGCTATACGATTGTGGAGCAAAAGATCCCATCTTTCAAATAGTTAATTATGTTTTTGTGTAAACCAATTGTATTTTGTTGTTCTTGATTTATGTATTTTTGTTCATTTAATTATTTTCTTTCCTTGCATTATGTACCGGTATGTGTATTCTGTAAGTATATTTACGATTGTGTATACACACAAACATAATTATTTCCTTTATATAATCGTTAAAGTATGGTCTGTTTTTTTTTTTTGTTTTTTTTTTTGTTTTTTTTTTTTTTTTTTTGTTATTTTTTTAGACGCACCTTCACAGTAGAAGTGTGCCACTGATTCAAATAAATTATATTATAGAGGGCGTTTGTTGACATTTTTTCATAGCCATAGTAAGTCTTTGCTCGACCTGCCGCCAGTGCGTGATCGTGTGGCGGAATGCGATTTTTTTTCCGTACGAAACATTTACATTTACTCGGGCCGTCTCGGCTGAATCGACCCGAAAATCTCATTGCAGAATTAAGGAGGTCAAAAGGTCATCAACAGATAAACGTCTACAGAACAACTTCTGAGAGAACGTCGCTGTCTAATTTTTAAAAATACGTTGATGTTAATACCAATGGGTCGTTTAAAATGACATATAATATTTGATTAAGCTGCACGAGTAATGAAAAGTGTTATTTTAACTTGAGTTACATACTATGACAATTTTAATTTGTTAGTTAGGCCTGGGTTTTGCATAATTACCTAGTCCTACGAGTAGGCCTACTAAAAACGCTTTCTGGGAAAAGAACAAAGAGTAAGGAAAAGCGCGTTTTTCTTCATCTGATCAAATGAAACAGAATGACAGTTATTTTCAAATTAAGAGAAGAGCTGAGAATAGGCAGCTCTAAAATTCTGGATGTCATAAGACCTGCCAAAATGGCAAAACACCAAATGAATGTAAAAATGAGCTATTAGGCATAGTAATCGGCAGGTTCTTGATTACAAGGCTAGACCAAGTTAATTGCATGTAATGCCGAAATGATAATAATAATAATAATAATTATTATTATTATTATTATTACCTGTAGGCCTACATTAAGGGGAACTTAGACAAAGGGGAAATAACTCAAAAGATATTCCCCTTCTAGTTATTATTTATAGGCCTAGTAAAGAGTATCTGTAGGTTCTTCATTACAAGCCTTAGGCCAAGGTAATTAATGCTGAAATGATTATTATTATTATTAATTATTATTATTACCTGTACCTTAAGGGGAACTTAGACAATGGAGGAATTAGAGAACAATTAAAAAAATGACGTTAAGAGGAAATAACACAAAAGATATTCCCCTTGGGCGATTATTATTTATAGGCCTATAGATTGTACAGTATCTGTAGGTTCTTCATTACAAGGCTTAGGCCAAAGGTAATTAATGCTGAAATTATTATTATTATTATTATTATTATTATTTAACATTAGTTACATTACAATGATAGTTTGGACAAGTTCAATAACGCCGGAATGGTATATTATTTATTTAATAATATTTCTCTTATGCGCTCTATTTTTCATTTCATGCTTCAATTATGTCCCATTTCCCCCCCCCCCCAAAATTTCAGTCCATGTCAGTATGTGAAGCGAGACTGTTGTGTCAGCCTGACCCTAGGCCTAGTTTAA